CAAGAGTCTATATACATTGGACGATGTGGATGGGATCTCTGAGATGCCCTTGTGGCGCAATGGATGAGATCCCGACCGTCCGAATGATTCACCGTTCGATCCAGGAAAATCCCCACGGAGCGCTCTCCACCGTCGCGGTGGTTTTCTCTTAAAAGTGTCCGCTCCCCTTAGTGGGCATATATAGAAGTCCCATGATAGGGGTTACCTTCACGACCTAGACTACCCCCCTAGGTGGAGAGTATAGGGGACTTCATGACCTTAGTGGGGTAGATCCTTTTCTTCTCCCACTTCTAGGGAACACAGTGATCCATGGTCCATCCGACCTCTTCGCAGACCGTCCGTGTGTGTGTTCTTAACTCGCGGGCCGAGCCAGCCGGAGTCGGAGGCTGCGACGCATCGCCATGCAAGCTGCGAGGGCGGTAGGATCGTTCTTAGATTCTTTATACCCCTTAACATATCCCAATATGAAAGCAGGACCCCTACCCCTACCCCTATATGAACAGGGGGATGATCCTTTTGATGATGTGACAATCTATAGACCGCAGCAGGCATCCGCACGGCGCCTTCCATGAGAAAGAACAGCAGTTGCTGAAAACAGATTCTTGCCCACCCCTACGAAGACCCTTTGGTCACACTGTTTGGAACAAGAAAGGCCACGATCTCTATGGGTTTGGTCATATGTGGCTTTACCTGGAACTTCACCACGCGCCTTGGGTTTGCATGGTGAGGGGGTGATGAGCTCGGACGAACAGGAGGCATTCTATAAGAAACTCATCATGGTTGCTTGTTCCCGGAGTTCGTTTGAACATGTGTTTCCTTTGTACCTACCCTGCACCAGTTCCAAACTCCACTTACCGCATATATCCGCTTATACTTGACGGACACCCCTAATTATAGGCCATGCCATGGCATGATCACCCAAGGTACCAGGTTACCACTATGCGAGCAATTTGTGAGGGAGGGGTACGTTATGGTACGTTAGATTGTGAGTGAAGGAAAGACCCATGAGATATGGCTCGGTTGTGCTCGATTTATGTACACACGTATACATATATATATATATACACACCTGATAATGCATTTTTTGGGTCAACCGGCCTTGACCATGTTTTTCTGTCATTACAGCTTTGTTAATTTAGAGCCACTTGTGGGAGAGTTGCTACGTTTTTGTGTGTATGTGTGTTTATTTTCAAGGACCAGTTTTACGAGGTCCTGCTGTTAGTAAATGACCTAGTTTTACGAGGTCACATGTTCTTAGACCTTCAAAAACTTGAAGGTCACCATTTCCACGGAACAGTTTTGTTGGCAATCATACAGTTATATTTAATAACAGATGTATACTGGTCACATGGTACACTCAGAAGTTTAACTTTGGTATTATTGCTTTTTAGAAACGCCATGTTTTGTTCAAGCCGATGACCATTCATTGCCGTGTCAAATTAAAAGCTTCGAGTGCCGACATGAGTCACGCTGGAGTCATGGTGGAGTCACGCTGGAGTTGCGCTCAATCAGGTTCGTACAATAGTTTTTGACGGGAAGAAACTTAGTAAACACGTCAACAATTTCATGGCTGAGGTGGGAGTCACGCTAGAGTCACGCCAGAGTCACGGCCCCACGTTCAGGCACTAAGCACTTGCTGGGTCCTAGAGCTAGCTAATTTGGTGGCTCATCCAAAGGCATCAGTATACTAGTAAAAACCTGCTTTCACAGTGTACAGGGTGCCTTTTACTTATATATATTAAGTTTCAAATTAAAAGACGACATTTACGGAGTAAATTCTGTCTATCTACCATTTCCACGAACAGTTTTTGGAGGTCACATTTTGCTACTCATTTTGCAGAAAATTGGGCCCAGTAAAACGAGGCACTTGACTTGGAGGGAATTAGTTTTGAAAAAATACGGTTTTGCTACGGATAGGCCTGCCTACCATTTGAAATCTTTTTGGGTCATTGCGGGTAAAACCAGTATTTGGACAAAGAAATTGAACTTTACGGCTTTGTCCCCATAATGACCCGACAATGTTGGGTATTTGGCTATATAAAGAGACAGGAACAAGCACCTGAGACCATGGCAGATGAACATCCTCAACTATTTGGGTATTGGTTGGGGGTTTGTCCTTTAAAGAACAAACTCATATTGATTCCGTAGCTGTTGGGATATGCACCAAGGGGTGCCAGTTCCATTTGCGCCTAAGCAGTCATTTCGTGTGAGGGGCTGTGAGGGGCTGTGAGGGGCAAGGAGGCAAGGCCAGCGGTCACTCTCCCTTCTTCTGCTGAGAGGCTGCCAGAGGCTGCCAGGTTTCACGTAGACTTGTTCCTCATGGACACGAAGGCCTTCCTGGGCACCATTTGGTTCAGAGGATCTGGACCGACTTCTCGATAGAATCCGATAGAACAACAAGTAGATCCCGACTTCTTTGGCTTTGAGGTGTTTTGCTCACCAACCTTTCGTCCAACTCCCCTTCTCTCAAGTCTCCAAGTGGATTTGTGGGGAAGTTTTTGTTTCTTTCCAAGGCGTGTGAAGGCCGTTTCCTCGGGCATGCTCTTCGGCCCCAACGATGAGGAGCGACCGTGGGGTATGACCACCTGGGTGACGTGAAGATACGTCAAGCATTTTTAGGCAGGCTCGACTCGACATGGGAGCAAATGGGAGTCATTTTGAGAGTTGTGTTGTGTGAGTCCACCTTTTGCATGCGATGAATCTAAGATTCTTCGGGTTTTGGCCTCCAAGAGGAGGCTTGCATTTCGTGGGAGGGGGGAAACCTATGAAAGGGACTTTGCAGCCTTTTTGCGCTTTATTGCGCAGGTTTGGGGGTTTCTTTGTGCTGTCCTGCCCATTAATCACGAAAGCCAGCCGATAGGGCCGATAGGGTACGCTGAAGAAGTTTCTTTATTTTCTACTAACGAAGTGAGTCTTTAGTGGGTCTCGGGGGCAGGCCGGGTAAACCATGTTAGCCTGCTGGTGTTTTTACTTTGACAAGGAGGTTAGGTTTGGTGGGTTGGTGATGCAGAAGGTGCAAGGTGAATGGTTAGTGCATCATTGCATCAGCAACCTGCTCTAAGGACACTATTTTGTTTATGTGTATTGAATGCTGGCCTTTGAAACCGTTTCGGCATCCATTATTGAATCAGAGACCGTGCAGGGAGCCGTTTCCTATGTGCTGGGCCGCTTTGCACTTTCGTTTCCCCCTTCTCAGGTACCAGGTAGTGTTTATTGTGTTTCCTTTGAGATGTGGGTGCCGTGGGTATGGGTTTGTATTTGTTTGTTGTAAGGTGTCCAGTCTATGTATGCAAGGGTTAATACACGCGATGATGACTTTAATAGGGCAACCGCCTTGAGGTATCATAAACCATGAAAACATGTGAGTAGCGATAGCACCTTTGAAGAGGCGATACCATGGCGATACCATCATCAGTGATTCGCAACAATGCTGTGTTAACCACAGCCGGTTTCCTTACCCAAGGATCGATAGATACCTAGCTTGAATTAGATCAGGTTGGATGGGATCGTATTGGATGGGATAGACAATTGGGAAGATAGATGACATCCTTCCGAATTGTCTAGCTGCTCTCGGCGATGCCCCTAGCGATACCCAAGCGATACCTCAAACGATACGCGAAATCCAGTTAGGTGACCATCTGCACACCGCCAGGCTACTTCTACTACATACTACAACTGCTACTACTACTACTACTACTACTCCTCTTTGCTGCTGCTGCTGCTCCTACTACTAATACTACGACTACTACGACGACGACTACTACTAATCCTGCAACAACAACAACAACTGCTACTACTACTACTACTGCTACTACTACTACTACTACTACCACAACCACAACCACAACCACTACCACTACCACTACCACTACTACTACTACTACTACTCCTGCTACTACTACTACTACTACTACTACTACCGCCACTACCACTACTACTACTGCTGCTGCTGCTACTACTACTACTCCTACTACTACTCCCACCAAAGGTGACAAATCAAGAAAAAGTTGCTGGCGCTGTGTGTGGCGACGCCACCCTTGAAGGCGATACCCATGACCTTACCACGCAGAAGGAGTTTTGACCGTCGCACATGTAAGGCTGGGATGTTCGACGTAGGCGAAGCATACCCCGAAGCTCACCCCATTGTCAAACATCCCGGCCCGGTAACGTCAAACAAATACAAACCCGTATAGTATAGTTGTTCAACGTTATCTACTTTCTTGGGGGTGGGGGCAGGCACCAGAAACACTTTCGCAATGCTGCCTCCGCAACACCAGCGCAGACATTTCGTGCCAAGTTCTCCTCTCTTTTCTCCTTTGTTCCAAGCTCCATCTTGGATGCATATGTCAAACGTTTTGAACACATATCGGTTGATACCGATAGTCTTCAAACAGTTGCTTTCTGACTTGCGTCCTCCTACCCTCGTCCATGTGTTCTACCTGTGGCCCTGCAATCTACGACACATTGATTCTCAAGGTATCTCAAGGGGGGCTCTCTTGGTTTACTGTTACTCTCTTATATTGTTCAACCGTTTTGTGATGTCAAGGCACTTTCGACGTCTTAGATGTTGTTTTCAAGAATGCAAATCCAAAAATTGCGGACAGCACAAATGACACAAATGCCCGAATCAAGGCAACCGGGGCGATGACAAGAGAGTGGAACATTGAAGAGGGATGGAGAGTTCTTGCCAGAAATTTTGTAATTCCGCTGTTGAAAAGATTGTTTTGTGCAAACGCGTGACTTGTTTGTACTCCGTGTGTTAGTTGGCTCCTCCTCTTCGACTTTGCAGCTGGTTTATCCTTGCTGATGCAACTCCTATTCTCAGTAAGCCTGTCTCTTGTTCAAACAGTATTTTGCTATAATATAGTATATGTCGTTGTTTCATTGTTCTCTTTGTATTTGCAATTGTGTTTTTGACTGAAGATGGCTGAGGAATTCTCAGAATCCAGTTCTGTGATGCATTTTTCCATGAGTGGATAAAACATATGAGGCAGTGGAAATTCAGCAGAGGAGAACTACAAAGTTGCGGGGAAAGAATGTCTTAGGAATTCTGAACATGTGTATCCTAGCTCGCTGGATTTGGATCCAGGCAACCTGGTCATTCAAATCCAAACTAGACCACAGATGCTTGGTTTCGGTCCTAGCTCACAGGTGGGCCTTGAAGTCTTGAAAAGGCCATCCAGTATTAATCTGGATAAATCCTGAAGGCACAGGAATTTTAAACGCTAAATCAAAAGAACCGAGTTTTCCATTGACCCGAGGAGCTGCAAAGCCCCTTGGCCGGTCGATGGGGAAGAACAAGCTCTTGGCTCATGGCACTAAACAACTGGGCGCTTTGGACCGCTTGGTTTTTTGAGCCTTGGTTTTTTAAGGGGCTGTAGCCTGCTGGTTGGCCCGGGAAGCAGGTGGATCACCGGCAAACAACCTAAGATTGGGGGCGCCTCGCGAAACATGAGCAGGTTAGACCCCCCACCCACCTTCTCAGGAGGTTGGAGCCCTAGGGTTTCATTACCTGGAAGTGGAGGACTGAAAAAGAAGGAATCATTGACGGTCGGTACAAGCAGCGGTTATGTCATCGAGTCCAGCGGTTGAACTTCAGCCCAGATTTGAGCGGTTCCTGGGCAATTATGTGTCAATTGCATTTGTTTGAGGGCGCAAACCGTAAAACGTCAGGTTTGGACCACTGAAATGTGATCCCCACGTTGACTAACCCAGTGAACGGTGAACCTTGAACTACTTGGGCCACGAAGCTGGCATGAAGCAAATATGACAATTGTCAGATGACATGACTTCGACTTCAGTGGTGACAATAGAATTTCAATACCCTACTAATCCGCACCCTGAAATGGAAAAGGCTTCAAGTCTTGAGGGTCCAGACTTTGGTATAGAGGGCCTGACCCCTGCTATGGAGGGTCCATGAATTCTTTGAACGTTTACATTGGCATCGGGCGTGCCAAGCACCGACCGGCCGACGTGCCGTTTCCGTCATCAAGCACCGCTGCGCGGCCTGCAGGAAGACCCGACCACGTGGAGCTTTTTCTTCCGTGACGAAGCGGGATTGGCGCTGTTTACATTACACCGGGACCCTCCAAAGTGCTGGTACCTGGCCCCATATGGGTGACATGGCCCCATAAAATAAGTACTTTACACCCATCTTCCGAGGTACTTTGAGACTCCAGGCATGGGTTTGCATTGCGACTATGCGGACCCCCATTATTATATAATTATATATGTTCCTTCTTTCAGTCAGGAGGTCTTTTGGTGGTCTCCCTATTTCTAGTACAGCCCGGTCGCTGTGGTTGACCCGTGGTTGTCAAGTCCCGGACAGGTCGTGGTCAGTCCCAAGGAGGTTCGACGTGGAATGGTCACACTGTGTCACACCGAGTACTTGGGGCCCTTTTTGCGAAGGGCTTTGATGTCCCGTCTCACAAGTCTTGGAAGAAGGTGCATCTCAACCATGTTTAACCGTTTCTTGAAATTGCCAAGAATCAAAGGAGATGGTAAGGACGTTTGGTAGTGCCAGGACCGTTCCGAGCCAATGTGAAGAGGAAACATATAGTCGTTGAAACATGTTGAAAACAACACTTTGATCATTGGCCCACTGTCCAAGCACATGACAACCGATTCCTCGTCTTCCTCCAAACAAACGATCATAGACCTTGTGGCTTGCAACCACATTCAACCTTCTGTCATTGAGGCAGAGGTGTGAGGGCAGTTCAATTCTATCCACCAGCACCACCCAAAGGATGGTTTATGCATGTTTTATTACTGTTTATAGACACCCCAGTCTATGCCTTTACCACTGGGTGGTGCGTTCGGCTTTTCCCACTGGGTGGTGGTGTTCAGCGTTGTTCTCGACCTCTCAAACAGACACCCATTGCATATCAATCAGACTGGCCGCTCTCGAACGGACCTCTGGCACTGATCCGATCCGACCTGACCTTTCCACCGGGTTGGGGGGGGGGGGCGGTGCATTGGGGCAGTGTACGATCCCGCAACAGGATGGGCGATGTCTTCTTAGTGGAATGCTGAATGCCTGACATGTTCACATGGGTTTGGGCAGGAAAGCTTTTGACGGCCTTTTGCGAGCCCGTATCCTTAGGGCACACAAGAAACTGATCCATGAACGGCCAGCTGGTCATGTTTTGTTTTTGGGATGTTCTTTCATCCCACCGATGCTTTTGTGCACAGTAGAAAGTTGCTATATGATATGTACATATACATGTGTCCTACATTGTATAAATTAATAGCCAGTAAAAATTAATAGGTCTACAATGGTCTACACATGTCTACACATATGAATATACCATATATGAGGGGGGCAACGAATCTACCTTTCTTGGCACTATTCTCTCTTCATTTGCTTTCATTTGGTGGATTCTCACAGGTGGGAATACCATATATTATATATATATGCATCAATTACGCCTGTTATTGCTCTGAACTTCGTTCCCGGACGTTGCACGCACGTTCGTGGTGCGGGCGGGGGTGATTCTACGGGACGGGTGAACGTTTCCCCGGAAAGGTTCGGCGCCGGTCTGAAGGGTAGGTTCCTTCCATATCACGCGAAGCAGCTGAAATGAACGGTGCAAGTGAGCAAGTTCCATCAAGACACATTCCGGGTGAGGCCTGTGTTGTGATGAGGTGGGAACCCCAAACCCTATTCTGAAGCATTGTAGTGAAGACTTTCGAAACAGCACGTGCAAATGTCAGAACCTTGGGCCCATCATGGGTGTCAACTCGCATACCGCCCCGTGTCAACTTGTTGGAACGTGCATTCAACTTCCAGTGGACTAACACATTGGGTGGGTGACCCTCCTGCAGTGAATCGGTCCCATAGCTTCAGCGAAGCACGACCATGTTTGGGATGACCTTTCACTATGTGAAGGAGGGTCAACTGCACTATCAACCCACTAGGAGGGTGATGAAGGTTTGGCCCTTCACTATGCATCATATGGATATCATATGGGACCCTTCACTCGGTTTGTGCTTCCACGGCGGTTGGCTAGCCGCTAACGGCAGGCCGAGAGGCGGCCATGGTGGCGGCTTCGGTGATGGCAACGCTTTGGGTGAGGATGCGGCGCTGCAGCGAATTTCAAGCTGATTGCTGCCCCTGGGATTCGATGAGAAACCTGGAAACAGGCATACTATGGCATACTGTGCTTCAGTTCCTCCCATGTTTAATGAAGTCTCCTACGTCCGACTATGGTCGACGGCTACGTTTGTTTGGGCCACCCATCCCATCCACTCATGGGACCGGAGGATTCGGGACGGTCGCGTAACTGGCGCTGTCCAGTTGGCGGTGCCAACGATCGTTGAAGCGGACCATGGCATGGCCTTTTACTATTGGTTGGTTGATCAAAAGAGGGGAGACTCCCTTTTGAACAATGTATATATATATATATGTATATATGTATATAATTGTATGTGTATATATATATATATATGATGGATGGTGGTATATGCAATTTTTCCCAGGACTCCATTGAAGCAGACCCCCCTTCCAGCACCCAAGCTGTTGAAGAGAATTTGTTCCCCCGAAGCAGAACCAGAAACGACTCAATTCCCAAACTGATTTAATGCCAGGACCGCGCTGGGAGTTCGCCCGGTATCACGACGACCCATGGACGGGTGCTGGAGATGATGGGTGGATTCTTTCCACCCGCCAAGTGCAATTGCAGTCTATAGAGCCGCCCTGTGAAGGAAAACATGGTTTCTTCATTTTTTGCCCAACGTTTTGGAACGGAATCGAAGGGTTTTGCCCAAAGAGTCTCGGGGAGTTGCTCAAAGAGTCTCGGAAACACATTGTTCCGCAGAACCCAGGCCATCCATGCATGGAATACACATGGATGTGTCATAAATGGTGTAAATGTATCTATATAAGCTGATATACATATATATATATAGATATAAATAGGAAATTCAACAATATGTTTTGTGTATGATATTATACATGTCACATAAACGTTTTAATATGGGGTAAATGGATGGTCAGGGGAAGGACCAGGTATGGAATATGTACGAACATTGGGTTGGTTGAAATGGTGTGAATGTAGGGAAATATTCCAGTCGAATGGGGTGTTTGGGATGGCTGGTTTGATTGTGGATTCTTCGTTTCGAGGCTTGGCCATTGCAAGTTGCACCTCAGTCTATACTACCGGCACCGGTGCAGCCGGTGCTGGGGAGGGTGGTCCGATTGGCCGGATGGACTGGTTCCAGGGGTCAATTGGTAAGGTGTATGGAGTGTTTGGGAAGTATGAGGCTGCAGCCCTAAGGCCCGAAGACCGGTCTTCCTAACAGCTGTATATGGTCTACCAGAGCATGAGACCTTCGGGACAGGACGGTTTTGGAACCTGAAATTGGGAACTAAATAATCGACTGTTCCCTGGATGAGGATGGTAATGTCGACATCCCCCCTAGCAAACAAGAATGGGAGTTTGTGTGAGATGAGTTCTCCCAAAGCAATTCCGATTTTGTGATGAGGTTGTAATTGAAGAAAACGGAGGTGACAACAACATATTTGTTTGTTTTTCAAAGGCCAGAAAATGAAGGGCATCAGCGGTTCAGTGTTGATGCATTGCAGCCGGAGATGATGATTTTTCCGAACCTCTTAGAATCATATAATTCAATTCGGGGAACCCACGTACCCTCTTGAAAAAAGGGTTTGTCCGCCAAACAGATGTCATTTCAAAAAGGCCTTTTGATCAAAGAACTCAGCGCAATGAGGGGTGGTGATTGTTTTGAAACCAAAGGGTAGAAAAGCAATTGGATAACAACACTTCTGACAGAGAAAACGACCTGTTTGTTATTACAACAAAGGAGATGATCTAGAATATTCTTGCAAAAGCTATTAGGTCGTTAAATTCCGTCCCACTTTGTTGGATGGAACGGTGCCAGCGGCCTTCCGCAAAAGAGATGCTTTCAACGACCCAAAGCCTTTAAGAGGTGATGGAGAACATGACTCAAGCCAAACGAAAGGACATATAAATAACATATAAGTACGATTTGATATTGTGATTGTTGTTTTTCCTAGTGGTGAATGTAACAATGCCCGCCTAACAATGCCCCCAATCATCCCCAATCCAACTTTGTGTTTTCACCCGTTCGGCACCAAGTGTTTCGTTTTGTTTAATGTCTTTTAAAGGGGCGAACGGGTGCGAGAATGCTGAATCACATGTTTTGCTAGGCCCTCTGGAGGTCCCCGAATAGACACAGTATAAACGAGCCCCAATACATGTTTAGTGGAAATTTATTTGTTTATCTACTTGGGGGTCTATTTATACTTAGGTGAGCTGAGTAAACCAGAAAGAGTTGGTGAAATATGATCACTACGTTTTGGAAAGCCTTTAATGTCCATCATGATCCATTTCAGGCCCTGGCCATAGGATATATATACCTAACTCTTGCTTTGAATGTCAGGTTTTGTTGCTTCCCTGGAGAAGTCTGGTAAACAAGTCCATGCCAGCCATGGGTAGTTACAGACACCATGCGGGTCAGACTTCATGAGGGGTCCTCCGATCACCGTCGCTTCGACCGAACGGCCGCTCAGGCCCACCGTTAGCCTTGATGATGCAGAAGTCCGTCTACCTTTGTGAAGATCATCAGGCCGATTGGCCCAGACATTTTTCGCGAGCTCCGCACGCGTGGTGGGTGCGGTTCTGGCGCGGCGGAGTGCACACTCCGTTGGGAACCCTCCGTGAAACGCACGTCTTAAAGTGGTGGGACCCTCTCGGTGCGGGGCGCATAGAAGCAACCAGTTATTTTGCTATCAGGTTGTATGTGCTATCGGTCATTAGCTCTATTTGTGTCCACAGGACTTGCTTGACGGGTCTGCTTGGGGCTCTTCCCGCGAATCCCGTGCACTCAGCGCGCAGAGGCTTGGAGACCCAAATCCGTGCGCTGAAAACCGCTCACTCGAGGGTTCAGCAAGCAAGCGATCCCAAAACCGCCACCAAAATTGACTGGTGAGACGGACTCGTAGGGTATGAAGGACGTTTCGCCCACCCACTATAGATTCCTTTGGATCCAGCTACCCTCATTCCTTGCAAGAGCGTTTCATTGTGAAGCACTCCCAGCACCCTTGATCAGTTCTGCAATGCATCGGATGCATCACTATGCTTCGAACCAGGTGTCAATCCCAAAAATCCAGGAACAGCTGGTTCTTCAATCTCCTCTTAATTGTTCATTCGTCCATTTTAGACATGATGGTTGTTTACATTGTAAAGCAGGCATTCGTTTTCAGATATTTTATAGTATATTTAGGTACTTCATTCCTTGGAGTCCTTTGCTTCTTTTGGCCTCCACTCGTCTAACCTCGCATTTCTGCGCCCGCTCTGCGCTTCCGGCCGTCCGGTCTCCGCGGGACGCAAGGACCCGAAGCTACACACGAGCTACATTCTATGTGAGTCTGCGAGCTCCTTCGAATATTTCTCTGGGTGTTGTGTGACTGGATCCCTCATCGCGACCCTGGCGCTGGTGCAAGCTGGTTGCTATCCAAGTTGTTGCAGCTTTGAATCCGGAGAGCGGAGAGGAACGGGGAATGGGCAACCAGGTGATGGATGTATCACATCTGAGGATTGCACCCAGGTCCGCGAGATGCAGTTGAAAGCCCATTGGGTCCGTTTGAAGTCCCGTTTGAAATTCGACCTCTCCCAAGTCTCAAATGGTTCCTAGTTGTGATGGAAGCTTGGAAAGTCATGACACCCCTGCTTGTCAAGGAAGCAACCCCAATGCTCCCAGCGGGGCCCTTCCTTTAGACAACCAGTGGTCCCGGCGTCGAAGTTACATCACAACGATGGGCGAACACTTCAGCAGAAAATTGTTTTCTAGGTGATGGTCTCGGATATTTATATTTTCAACCCTTACCTGGGGATGATTGGACCCTCTGACAAACATTTTAAAGTGGGTCGAAAACACCAACCAGTCTTGATATGGTTTAGACCATGAGTTTCAAAGATCGGCAGTTTGGTGTTTTGATTAACTATTACTATATTTTTTATTCTGAGCATTCTGTGCATGAAGAACTTTGGTGTTCCATTCGTGAATTTTGCTCCCAGACTTTCTTAAGGAGTCTCTTGACCAGTCGCTCCAATCATGGCGAACCCTCTGGCTCATGGCGGGTCAATGGGGTCAGGATCTTCGGATGTAGCATGCTCTTATGTAGACTGTTTGGGTTCAGGTTGCTGCCAAAATTGTCGAGCCCATTTGGGGGGTTCTTCTTTTCAAGATCTACACGCAGAACAAGGATATTCAGCACATGCAGCGTAAACGCGCAAACCTTCTTTGCTGCTCCCGCAACATGCAAATGAACGTCTCCAGGTCTCCAGGTCCTGGTTGTTATGCGACCTGCCACGTGTAAGGCGTCTTTCCTTCGCTGCGACGCCGGCGTTTCGGTGTCCGATGTGCCCCTTCAGGTCTCTTCTCCACCGCTGCCCTGTCCATGGCCACAGTTTGGATGCTGCGCCATGCGGAGAAGGTGTTCCGCGGCCAAGGAATCGCGCGCTTTCACTTCGAGCTCAGAGACTTGACGTGAACTTTGCGCGTCGAGCGAGCTGACATTCGGGTGCTTTTCGTTCGTCGAAGTTACCCTGCTGAAGATGGAGCTTGAGATAGGCAGGAGGGTTGGTCCACACACTCTATAGGGTAAAAATATATGTGGATGGATCAAAACCTGTAGCCCTGGCCTGGCCCACCATGTAGCAGAAGACCTTCTAGGTAGGTCTGCCAAGGTGTGCCGGTGCCGTGACCCACGTCGAACTACTCCAGTCCCATGGTGTCCTGGTGTCTTCTGAAAAAGATGGAGCTTGCAAAGCTCTAGGGGTTTCAATGTTCATTCATGCAGTGCAAAGAGCGTTTGGATGTGAGCAGGGTCTGTTGCTAGCAGGGTTGGAACTGGCAGTAGCTCACATGAGTGCTGGTCATTTCCACCCCCCTCTCAAGTTTCGACCACCCAAAATTCCTATCGAAACATATGGAAACATGAAAGCACCCTCACAAGGCGTTGGAAGGCGATGCCTCCAAAAATAGGGCACGCCCCAAGTTTAGCTATTGCCCCCTGTAAAGTCCAAGACTGCTTCAAGAGAATCTCAACAGGCGACTCAGAACAAATGAAGTTTCACCAAAACGTCCTGGAAAAGAAAAACACACCTCAGGTCCCTACTCTAAGCCTCTAAACTGGTGACTCTAAACCTCAGGTCCAACCAACCTCAGGTCCCCTGCATATCTTGCTCATCAACTGGGCCATTGTGATCAGCGCCTCCATCGACTTCTGGGCGCGTTTACATGCCGTCCGCCGGGGGATCGAACAGAGCAGCGACTGGGCGAGGTGAAAGGTGACTGTCATGGACCTCGAAGGGTGGAAAGTGGGGGGCATGAAGATGTTGGAGTACAAGCTCGGAGAAGTTATATACAAGATGTAGCCGAAAGATGTAGTAGTTCAGAGGGAGGGAGGGGGGGAGGGAGGGAGGGGAATACAAGAAGAGTGTGGGTGGGCAAAGGTCGCTTCAAAAAAGGAGCGGTGTTATCTTTCGATGAGACACCTTAAGTCCATGTGGAGCGGTCTCATCATTCGTTCATGATTGAATTGAACATGCGGCACATGCGCGTCAGTTTTGATATGTTCTATTTTAAGTCAAACAGCCAGATATCTGAGGTTGCACCTTCGAATCTGAATGCAGTACTCCGTCCTGAGCGAGGTTAATGAGTGAGGCTTTGGATCCTCATAAGGAACAAACCTTTTGGTTTTGGGGTTGTATGTCAGATATACAGCGGCGTCTACCTCCAACCCACCGAAACCGGAAAATGTGTGTTACTGCCTTTGCACCCAAGGGATGATTCTTAGCAAAGTTCCATTTGGAACAGTGGAGTAACGATAATCATAGTATTACTATTAATAAATTGTGTGCAATTAATATATACAGTATGTTGGGCCGTCCTGGGTGGGAGGACATGTTGAGCCATCTTCACCATCTAGTATTCTCAACATACATCCATTTGCTCGCACCATCATGTGTCCCAGGGCAGAACGCTGAACGCTCCGCGACCTTTCTCAGCATGTCACCTGGATCCAGAACTAGTGGTCCGGATTTTGCGAACCGTCGCTGTTTGGGGGCGCAAGGTGGTCGCTGTTCTTTTTTACACGGGGTGTTCCACTCCCATGCTTGTTTCAGTGAGTCTAGTGCGATCGAACCTTTTGTCCATGTGCTTAATAGGATCTGGAAACATTTTGGAAAAACAACACTGCATGAATTTGCCTTGTAGTAATGAGCAAGTCTCCGAATGACATAGGCAAGAATGGGTCTTGTAATGTGCTGTGACAGAAGAGCATGGCTAAAATAGGCGACGCTCTATAGATCGAATACACCCAAGATCTTCAAAGGTATACCGTAGGGGTAGGCGTATCCGTGAATTGCATAGAATGTCAATTGATCGTGAGACTGTCACGCATAGACTGCGTTCCCCAAAAAGCCAAGACTTGTTGTAATAGATCGTTAGTCTAAGTGCATCGACCAAGGCTTGTGCCTAGCGAAGAGCAACAAGATGTCACGAGTGGAAGCAGACACTGTATGACCAATATTTTCATAATAGCAAGAACGGTCAACATATAAACTCCCGAAAACTAACATGGACCCTGAGAATGGCACCCTGAAAGACCGTTTTCCTCTACAAACCAGTGACCAGTGGTTTTCAGGTTCCGTGTTAGTTTTCAGTGGGGTTTAGATGTTGGTTTGCAGACCAGACGTGAACAGTCCTTACATCCATAGGCCCCAGATCCAAGAAGGGGCCCATTTGTCTCTTCCCTGTGGCAACCCAAGTCAGTGCGGGTGCTCAGGGTCTCCCTATATAGTTCCCTGTGGCATCGGCTGTGGAAAGAGTCCTCACGATACAGCAATCATCCCATCCCACCGATTGAGAAAGCATTGCCTTTGGGAAGGCCTGTTGTCGAAACTATTTCATCACTTAGACTCTTGAGAGCTTTCGAGGACGAAGTATTTAACCACATAAGATTGGGCGGAACATAAGACCTGGATGCCAAGCTGAATCGTCAGAGTTCGAAGGTATCTTCTAGGTAACACCTTCAATGCTTATTATATATATATATATATTATATATATACACCCTAGTCTTCAAATGCCAAGTTTAACTTAGCACTACGCAAATGCT